TATAACTTGAAATGCTGTATTAAAGCCCAATGTAGAAACTTCATGTTTTTTCCACTTCTCAGTTTGCGTATAATTATGGTTCTCTGATATGCAACTTTTACATATTGTTATTTTACCCTAACACATACTTGTTAACTCTAACACATATCCAGGATTTTATTAAAATGGAACACCCCAGCAACCTGATAAAAACATTTGTCATTCATAGTTTTAGTTTCTAAAAGAATGACAATTGCAACCCACCTGGGCATAACTATATTACTTGTCAATATAGAACCTAGTGTAGTGTAAAAAGCCCTTACACAGCCTCTCAGCTCTGCCAACAAACATATTTTAATCCTGAATAGGTATTTTCTGGATGATAGAAATGTCAAGAATAGTAAATTCTAATTTGAAGTTTTYGGTCTGAAAGTCCAAATTATAGTAACAAGAGGATTCTATATATAAAATCAATAATAGCATTATAAAATTATAATTTATATATAATAAAAATAAGTATTTATGTGAATTTAAGTATTACATATGCATGGAGAAAAGAAAAGTTGTATTTGCATTAAAATACACACATGAATAAAGAATATTTACCATAAACATGAAAAAAGTTCAAAAGAAATTAAAGGACCTTCCTAAGTCTGTGTGCCTGCAATATTGATTTTCCAGTATACCAGTGTGACAAAAGCATCTAATTGTGTGAAACATTATTTTTATCCTGACCTGAACATGATCTACATTATCATTTTATGTATGTGTACATGAGTGTGTGTGTGTGGGGGGGCGGTGAGGCAGGGAGGTACTGCTACCACTGTATGACTCTAACCCTTTAAATTTTTTTTTTTTTTTTTTAAATTTTGAGTCAGGGTTTGAAGCCCAGGCAGGCCTCAAACTTGTAATGCTCTTGCCTCAGCCACCTGAGTTTCTGGGATTACAGGCATGTGCCATTGTACCCAGCTCATTATCATATTCTTCCATTTATTTTGCAGTTCTAGGGATTGAACCGAAGGGTGCTGTACCACTGAGGTACATCCCCAGAYCTTTTTTTAATTTTGAGATAGGATCTTGCTAAATTGCCTAGGCTGGCCTTGAGCTTGGCAAGCCTCCTGCCTTAGCCTCCTGAGTTAGTGGAATTATATGTGTGTGCCACTATGCCCAGCTCATTATAATTTTCTTTAGAATTTCTTTATACTGATTTGACTTTTTTTTTAGATTTTGACACAGGGCCTCACTATGTTGCTGTGATTGGCCTGGGATCCTCCTGCCTCAGCCTCCTGAGTCTCTGGGATTATAGGCATGCACTACTGTATCCAGCTCATCACATTGACCTTTCCTCCCTTATTCTAAGTCATTGAAACCAAGGTTTGATGAGCTAATTTTTTTCTCTAGAAACGTACAAAAAAATTATATTTAAATAGTTTGTTTTTGGCTAAGGAAGAGAACTACCAAACATTTCTTACCCGAAACAGCCACTTTAATACAGGTATAGGACACTGAACATAATGGTAAGCAGAGGTGAGGAACCCTTGTGTTGTCAAAAAAATCTGATCTGTTTTTCCCGATCTGAAAAAATAAAGTAAAACAAATATGAGTGTTTTCATGGCAAAACACTTCCACCATCACCACATCTGATACAATCAGGAAAATGAGAAAATTATCCCTAGTCTATGGAAGTGGACTATACACCAATATTGATTGGTTACTCAAGAAAAAAAAAAAAAAATCAATTCATGGCGTAAAGCTGATTCAATCTGTTGGCCTAACTCTATAATTATCTGATGGACAAAATAATTCTAATGTTGTATGGGATTTTGGGAAATTAGAACATAAAAGCTGAGCTCCAATAATACCTGAAGCAATGAGGTGCAAAGAATGGTGAAGAACAAATATAGTGAAAACAAYATACCAGCCCTGAACTTCCTATTTCTGTTCTACTATTTTTTTGGTACTGGGAACTTAACCCAGGGGCTATTTACCACTGAGCTACAGCCCCAACCCAGCCCTTTTTATTTTGAACAGTTTCACTAAGTTGCTGAAGTTGGCCTTGATCTTGTAATCCTCGCTTCAGCCTCCAGTGATRTTGGGATTACAGGCCAGCACCACCACATCTGGCTAACCTGTTTCTTTACTTCTTTCACATAAGAAAGCAATATGTTTATTAAGTCCCTGCTATTTTAACAGTCCAATATTATGCACTGATCATAAGCCCAACTAACAAGAGCACGTGATATGCCAAAAAACTATTAAGAAAAACACAAAGAACAATAAAAAGATTAGGAAACTAGATAGATCATAATAGAAATTAACCTTTTAGAAAATTACATTGGTCAAGTCTTTTAGGATAATTTTTGCCCCCCTGCCCAGTCCCCCAAAAGCAAGCCTACTTTCTACTTACTTGAGAATAAGCTTTTCTACAGCACTTTGTCCAATAAAACCAGAGTCTCTTAAATCCAAGGTATACTGATTGAAAATTTTCCCAGAGTTGAGAAAATTAAATATTTCTTCACCTGGATGATGATCAGGAATAGCATCAATTGTAACTGAAAATTTCTTAAGAAATTCCCTGAAATAAAAAAAGTCATTGAATACCAAATAGTTATACTGCATATGGTTTGGTACTTAAAACATTGTTAGAATCAATGTTAATCCCAGATTAGAACACTAGCATAAGAAAAAGTTGTTTTGCTCCTCCCCCTCACTGTCCATACTACTCAAAAGTCATTGAATAAATCTGTATGAAAAGGAACCATAACCCAAAGAAAAGACAAAAGATGCCTGGGCTCTAACATTTGCCTTTCAGCATCATCAGAGATGAATCTGAAATCCAACATACTTTATTCTATATGTATTTAACAAAAACAAAATTAAAAAATGTAAGGCTTGGCATGGTGTGTAATCCCAGTGGCTTGGGAGGCTGAGGCAGGAAGATCTCAAGTACAAAGCCAGCCTCAGCAACTTAGTGAGACCCTAAGCAACTTTTAGTGAGACTCTGTTTCAAAATAAAAAAATAAAAGAGTGGTGGGGATGTGGCTCAGTGGTTAGGCACCCCTAAGTTTAATCCCTGATACCAAAAAAATTAGATTTTAAAAAAATCTAAAAACTTAATAGGGCACATATAATGAGAAATGTACCTGTGCTCTTCCAAGAGGCCATCCTCATCATCTGTACTGTCTTGATCTCCGATTCTKATTGGTGATTTAATGCCTCGGCCCTGCCTTATGTCTTCTTGTAGTTGCTTCTGCAGTTCATCCAGCCTGATAATTAAAACAATGCTTTGATAAATAGATTACTCTAAAAAAAAAACAAAAAGCCCCTGAAAACTTTACCTGATATCAATCTAAAAGTAGTATCAAGGAAAAATGTTATTAAGTACCCTATTACCTTATCCTGTTATACTATAGATCAAATCATGTCTCCCAAATATATTATGATGTTTAAAACAGTACACCATTTTTCCTAAGACAAAGAAAGTCTACTTAGGTACATTCATAATTATCAGAACAGTGTTCCATTACAAAAAAGATTTTTAAAAAAAATTTTTAAAAACTATCTTATTTTTATGTGGTGCTGAGGATAGAATCCAGTGCCTCACGCGTGCTAGGCAAGCTACAACCCCTACAAAAAAGACTTCAATATTTCTTCATAGCAAAGGACTTTTAAGAATGACCTGTCCAGGGCTGGGGATGTGGCTCAAGCCGTAGCGCGCTCACCTGGCATGTGTGCGGCCCGGGTTCGATCCTCAGCACCACAT